TGAGATGAGATGAGATGAGATGAGATCTTAAATCCGATTTTTTCTAGATCATCAAAACCTAAACTTAAAAAGGCAGACGCGAAAATATTGAGCGGACAAAATGAAAATGGACCTAAAAATTCTTCTGGTCCTGATGGCTGTTGTCCTACTCGTTAGAGTTCTGGAAGCCAAGCCTTTTACTTGGAGAGCAAGTAGCTTCACTACAAGCGGACCACAAAATACCTCCACCGAAAGTTCGAATTCTTCATCAAGCTCAGGAAGTTCCAAAAGCTCAATGATCATAGTCATAGTAGTCGTATTGATAGTACTTATTAACATTGCCGTTGTTGTTTTTATTTTCATTCGCCGTCGCCGACTGACAGCCGGGCCGTAGGGAGAGGAGTAAGGGAGGGCCATGGCCCCCCAAGCAAAATAAGTTTGACTACAAATTGTAAACTTTCACTTTCTTCTTCTTCTTCTTTTTTTAGGTTAATAATTAAGTTACATGTCCAATTTCTATCGATTCGATGGTTTTACTTTTAATTATTATACAGCTTCTCATTAATCCCATATAGGTAACTGTCCAATTATTTTCTTAATTGGACAGGGCTTTACACTTTATCTGTTTACACAGATCGGCTGATCATTCTTTGAATTAAAAAGCAAAGGTTTCTCAATATTTCCACTATGTTCGTGATAAAACCAGCTTTAATAATTAAAAAAGCATTTGCCTAAACCTCGTTTTTCACTGAAACGTAACTTGGAGACGATAGGATTATATTTTCATTGAAATATTTTTCACTTTCGACAATTAATGCTTTTAAAACCTGACGATAGCGGTAATAAAACGTGACCAGACTAAGTGTACGCATGCTTGTCATGAAACACGAGACAATATTTCAACATGTAATAAAATCTTATATTTTACTTTTATTTAAGTGTCTAGTCGTTCTATAGCACTTTCACGCTAATTGGGGACACTTTTCGCTCTAGTTGGGGACAATTTTCGCTCACACGCACTACCACTACATTTAATATTCTATGCACACAACGCTCAACTCACATGTTGATTTTTTACGGAAAGAGGAAAACGGAGAACCCGGAGAAAACCCTCGTAGCATAGGAGAGAACAACACATCAAACAAACTCAATTCACATGTGGCGACCGCAGAGCTCGAACCAGCGACCCTATATCCGTTGGACTCACAGCGGTGAAAGACGACGCGTTAGCCACGAACGCCGCCCATGCTACCCAAAGGCGGAGAATACTAAGAACTACAGCGACTGAAACCATATTCTGTGCTGAAACCACTTGTGACCTTAACATACCCAGTGAAAAAAATGCTAAAGCTATGTTTACCAGCCCCAGCCTCTATTAGGCATTCCGAGTTTGAATAGAAGACTGGGTCCAGTTGGCATTGCAGTGCATTTTGGGTCATCTTGGAATATGTCCCATAAAACAGTCCCACAATACACTGCAATATCAACTCGACCCAGTCTTTTCCTCGACCTACGAATGAATATAATTAAAATTCAAAAATATTATTAGCCAATGTGACCAAGCACGCATACTGACTGATCCCCGTTTTTTAATGATCGATTTTTTTTCTAGATCATCTAAACCTAGAGTCACTAATAACAAAGACAGACACGAAGACATTGACTTAATAGAATGAAGATAGACCTGAAACTTCTCCTGGTCATTCTGGCTGTCGTTCTTCTCGTTGAATTTCTGGCAGCCGCCGAGCCTCTCTTAAGGATAAGAAGTAGCTCTAGTACGAGTAGACGACGTTCTCTCGGCAGTACCAGGCGACGAACATCTAGCCTTTCCCGTCGTCGGAGTTCCTCTTCCAGTTCGAATTCTTCATCAAGCACTGGAGGCAGTTCCACAGTTACAGTAGTCGTAGTCGTAGTCATCGTAGTGATAGTACTTGTTATCATTATCATTAGTTGTTGTGGCTATTTAATACATTGTCGTCAGAGAGGACGCCAACCGGTATTCGAACAAGAGGAGCAAGAATTGGAGCCTCGAGATCCAATATTTAAGGGCCCTCAAGATGGCGATACAGGTTCAAAGACTGACGGTGAAACAACCAATGAAAGTAATCAACAAAAAAACAGTGATTTTGATAAAAAGGGAGTTGATGCAGGATCTTTATTGCCTTACCCACCCGAGGCCAGTGACCAAAATGCTGCCTATCCACAAACCTCCTTTCCGTACCCCCCACAAGAAGGCAACTATCCCCCCGACGAGATCAAACATGCTCCTTCCTACCCCACACAATCTACAAATAGCGCCTATCCTCCCCAGGGGTCGGGAGAGGAAGAACCTGGTGTGCCACAAGCGATATGGCCAGGACAACCTCGCGAGGGAAGTACAGTAAGCGCTCCTCGCATACAGTTCGAGAGTGGAGATGATTTGCCGCCACCTCCTTCTTATGAAGATATAGACACGAAGAAAAAAATGTAACTCTTGCTTTCTTGCTTTCTTGCTTCCTTGCTTTCTTGCTTTCGCCTCCTTGCCTCCTAGCCTCCTTGCCTCCTAGCCTCCTTGCCTCCTTGCCTCCTTGCCTCCTCGCTCGCTTGCTTGCTTGCTTGCTTGCTTGCTTGCTTTCTTTCTTTGCTTGCTTGCCTGCTTTCTTCTTTGCTTGCTTGCAATTGGAAATTACTTTCCATAAATCACCCAGAGACTTCCTGCTAAAAAAATCTGCTTTTTGTCACCCTTCCGAGCGGATGTCTGGATGCGGTAGCTATAGTAGCAGAAGACGCTCATCGTCAAGACTGTCTGGTTCCTCAAATGATGAAACATCATCAAATTTAGGAGCTTGGGAAATATCCTCCCTGGTTCTAGGAGTATTTAGTGTTCTTATTCCTCTCTGTAAATGTTGTAATAAATATCTAGATCTGTGTAAAACATCTGATGAATGCCATAAAATAGCAACGAAAGTTACGAGTGTCTGTCCCTGGAGGATGATATCCAAAGTGGGGCACAAAATGAAATATCATCACCACCATATGAATTGTCGGAGCTTTCTCATGATAGTAAGGGTGCCAGCATTAATGATAATGATAGATTACTAGAGCTGTCTATAACCAACAGAGAACGGTGTGGCGTTGACAAACCAATAACGATTCCCCGTGAGCATGCGCGCGCGTACGCGATTTCCACACAACACCATATTTGGGCATCATTTATTTTGTCAATCAAGTATAAAATATTAAATATAGCACTTGTTGTAAATGCCGACACGGACGAATAATACGACGACTTTATCGCGCGTGAACGGGCTTACGAGTAATTGAGGAGATTTCGGGAATAATTTTACGGACAGCACTTGACGACGAATTGAAGTTTATTACAATCCAAGAACTTGTCGTAAACTAGAGTTAAATGATACAAAGGGCATAACTTAATTACTAAACTAGAAACCTGCATAACATTCCAATCATACCATTACGGAAATACATGCTTAACAAAGAATGATAAAGAGAATCACAATAAACATAGAAAACTAACATAATATTCTAGCGTAGATGAATTACATTGAGAATAAAATACTATAA